AGTGTCGGGCTGGGCTTCAAAACCCCCAGAGAGGTCCATTTTCAAGTCCTGTTCAAGTCTTGATTGAATCTGCAAGTGATGTTTCTCTCGCGATGGTCTTCCTCGCCTGCAGGGTTTTGGCGACGACGCCTTTTGGCAGAGCTGATGCGATTTGATGCCATCCAAAATGGCGCATTTCGGTTAATTCACAGATTCAGATTCAGAACCGCTTAATATGCTTGTTCTGTTTTGTCCCCTCAGGCTATTGAAGGCACGTACGTGGACAAGAAATGCCCTTTTACGGGAAACGTCTCCATCCGTGGCCGTATCCTCTCTGGTCAGTATGTTAAAGGCTATCCAGTGATGCTTGTGAATTGAATTCGGTTCATGCTTGTAACACGAAGCACTCATTACGGCACCATTGTATTCCGTGAACTGTTGCTGCCCTTCAGACGATGTTCATCTCATGATGGTCTTCCGAGCCTGTGGGGCTCTGAGGACAAAACAGAACGACAATTCTGATGAAGTGTTGGGACAGGGCTTCCATGGTGGTGTTTCCGCGCTTCTAGGAGCCACTGTACACGATTTTTAACCCCCCACTCCCCCACGATGGCGCCCGGGTAGGCAGCCTCTGGCAAGTGCTCTTCAAGTACCTTGCTTTTTTGTTGTTTTTGTTTTGTCATGTTTGTTGTTTCGTCGTGCGGACCTGATGTGGACTGTTTTCAGCGTTTTTTTTGGCCACGACATTCGTCAAAGGAGAAGAATCTGCTTGGTGGTTGCGCCTTCTCGGCAGCACAGATTTTGATTGGGAAGAATGTCGGCGCCATTGACTGTCGGTGCCGGACAGCCCCGGGGTGCTTGTGTTTTCTGCGCCTGTAATTGGCAGCATTTTTCACGGTCCCGTTTTGTTCAGTGGAGATATCGGCGCTGTTGGACAGTCGGTGTTTGTGCGGCTGAAGTTGAGCATGAGGATAGAGGAGCGTATTTGGAACTGAGAGTCGCCGCTTGGAATTGAAATGGATTTCCATGGGACAGGAGAAGTGAACCCATCTCTTTTTTTTGTCAATGGATGCTACAGCTTCTTGTTGACTTTGAAACTCGCCTTGTCGCCGACCTGTGCGCATTTTGAGCATGGCGTCTCTGATCCACTGGTGAAAGGACACTTTGATTCTCTTTCATCTCAAACTGCTTCAAACAAAGCGTATGAGGGAAAAGTGGATAGGACCGCACGACTGTCCGTTTTTTATGTTATGTGTCGTTTATTATTTTACTTTACGTTAACTGTTTTGTTAAGCGCTTTGTTACAGCTGCACTCGTAAGAGGGAGCACATAACTCCTACTCTGGCATCCCTTCGCTGGCTCCCCATACATTTTCAAGATCCTCTGATTTGTTTTCAAATCTCTCAATGACCTCGCGCCACCTTACCTCTCTGAGCTCATCCGCCCCTACACACCTGCCCGTCGCCTCAGGTCTGCGGACCAGACATTATTAGAAGTACCAAGAACTAAACTGAGGCTCAGAGGGGATGGAGCCTTTTCTGTTGCTGGTCCCGCTCTCTGAGGTCACCTCCCACTGAGCATTCGGCAAGCCTCCTCGCTGCCCGTCTTTAAAACCCGCCTCAAAACTCACTTGTGTTCTTTGGCATTTGACTCGGCATGACTTAAGATTTGTTCTTGGTTTTGCTGTTCGGTGCTTTCTACCATCTTTGACACCGATTTGCTTGACTGTTTGTTGTGCATGTTAAATTGCTCCATGTACAGCACTTTGTATGCAGCGATGGCTGTTTGAGAGTGCTCTCTAAATACAGTTGCCGCTGTTGTGAAAGCGCGATAAAAATCAGCACGGATTGTATTGTACTGTTGACATTTTTTTGTGTCGTGCAGGCGTGGTGGCAAAAAATAAAATGCAGAGGACCATCGTCGTCAGACGGGACTACCTGCATTTTGTCAGCAAATACAACCGCTTTGAGAAGCGGCACAAAAATCTGTCTGCCCATCTTTCGCCGTGTTTCAGGTACCTTCAACCCAGTCTTGGATTTCCCCAGCTCAATTTTTACCTCTGCGCGTGATGTTTTTCTCACGATGGTCTTCCAAGTTAAACTCTGACGACATCGCCTTACGGCATTGCTGATGCAGCCTTAATTCTTCAACAATGAGAGGTTCTGTTACTTATTTTTTTGCTCCACGTTTTTTGTTCTTCCCCTTCTCTAATGCAGGGATGTCTCGATCGGAGACATCGTGACGGTCGGGGAGTGCCGACCGCTGAGCAAGACCGTGAGGTTCAACGTCCTCAAGGTGACAACGGCGGCTGGTCACAAGAAGCAGTTCCGGAAGTTCTAACACTGGCGGGAGGAATGTCACCTGAAAATAAACTGTTTTAATATGATCTTTGTTTTGATTTTTATTCTTTGAATTGCACGGCTAACATCCTCCCAATTTGGCACGGTATGATGGGCTAATGTATGCAGGTTAGTCACAACATTGGGTACATCGACACAATCGAATGAAAGATGCCCTGTACCAAAGACTTGTAGGAAGGTGAGCAATGTCCGGGAACTGGTGTAAGAGCAGGAGGAGGAGGAGAGCCCAGCCACTGGGAGCGGAGCCTGAGAAGCTCGGCCACTGAGTCCTGTAGCAGACCTTCCATAGGTCGATGGAGGAGCGACAGGATGGTCCATAATAGTATGGCCCAGACACAGGCCTTGTTGACCCTCATCGTGGGGTCCAAAGGAGTGGAGATGGCACGGGGCCTGGTCTGAAAGCCGAGCGGGTGGGACGCTGTGGCACTGCGATGAAAGCAGTCGTAAAACGATTGAGGGTGTAAAGTAAGAGTGGATTGGGGGTTGCGGTGGAAAGATTTTCGTATGAATACAGTAAACAGTCAACCGTAACAACACTAAAAGTTGGGGGTGAGCAGCCGGACGCGCCAGCTTCACTCACCCCTGAAGTCACGTGACTTATGAATACTTGAAAAGGACACAATTCACCCGAATTTGATTACGAAGACATTAAATATCACACGATTGTACGGTACGAATGTGTTGTTTTATGACGATACCTCGGAATTGTATTTTTGTTATTGTTTCTCATTTTATGTGCTGCATGCCTAGGTATTTATTTTTCATATTTCCTTGAACAACGTTTGTTGATTGTCACGCTACATTTTACTATCGTCGGAAATGTAGTATCCGTTTCTTCTCCGTTCACATCTTTAGGGGGAGGTGGGTGTGTGAGAACCCACCCGCCCCCCAACAACCAATCAGCGCAGAGCGCAGGCAAGGAAGCATCCTTTGACCGCATGACATACTTCCTCTGCAGAAAACGTTTTCGCCTTCCTGACCAATAAAGTAAGGGAAATCTCTTTTAAAATCATACACAAATACTATCCCGCCAAGCATTATCTTCTTAGGATCAAGAAAGACATCTCTGTTGATTGCTCATTTTGTGGAATGTACCCTGAAATGATGGTTCACTTGTTATGGCAATGCCCGTATACCAACACATTTGGAAAGCTCTATCCAGATTTATTATTGAACGTATTGACTCTGACTTTATGCGATACTGGAAAAATGTACTATTTGGGTTCGACAAAAGTAAGGAAAAAACACGAAATAAACCTTCATTATAAATTTAATAATCATTCTCGCGAAATTCCATATCCACAAATCCAGATGGGAGTAATTCAAAACCTCTTTTCTTAAATTTTGAAGCAGAAACAAAGCGGTACCTGAGTTCTATTATGGATTCTGTTGGGGGAAGAGCGGCCTCCTCTTCCCCGCGTGTTCGTTGAATTTCGGACGAGGAGAATGTTGGTCATCCAAATACAGGCTGGAATCAATGAACAGTTCCTTCGAAGGGTTTAATTTATTTTTCTGCAGTTTCCGAATCGATTCGGGCTCCTGAGGGGTCCAGATTTCAATCAGGAAGCGTAGAAGAAACACATTCATGAGATGATATCGAGACAATATGACAATGAGAGGCGGGGAGGTACGCCTCTCATGCAAATCCCCAAAACAAAGAAAGTAACACGTCATCTGACCCGGTGTGGCTGGAAGAAGTTGGGCGTGGTGAGGTGAGACCAAACCACCACTCGCCACCATTTGGTGTGATGGCAAGTTCCAGAACCCCCGCTGTGCATACATCCTGAGATAAGCGGTCTTCCCGGGGGGGCTTAACAGCTATCAGGGATTTACCCAAGGTGCGGGTGGGGGAGGGGCAACAGAAGACACTTGCGGGGCCGTTAATCAACCAAGGAGGAAGAAGATAAAATTCAACACTCCATACATTGTTTTCGGTGTGCAAACAGATGTTCAGGAAAGAGACTGGGATCAATAGTCCTCATAGTAAGGCGCAGTCCCTCAATAGCTGCAACACAGATACTTGAGATAACAGTTCCTCTTTTGATGTTGACATGTCCTCTGGAGGGGTCCTAAAAGTGGTGGGGGTGAGGGGGTACCAAAGCTGATTGTAATCACAGTAAGCAGGAAATACCTTCATCAGCATTCTACATTGTTTCTTTCAAATCCAACTCACAGAGAGGAATAATATCTTAACAATTCCAAAAACAAGAAAGCTGTTACGACTCTGGCTACATGCTCCTTATTTGAAAATTTTGTTTAAAAATCCCCTGGCTTCTTTTTGTCTCAATGTTTGTAATATGTGCATGTATTAATAACGTGTTCGTTTTGTTTTCTGTTTACAATAAAGTGATTGAAAAAAAAAACATTCATCAAAAACAATTCATTTGCAATATCTTGAATAAATAATCATGAAAAGAAAAAAATAATAGTTGTATTGCGTCATTTCTGGTGGATCTGACCGACTTCCGTGCGCCAATTCAGCCCTCTTTACAACTCGGCTAGCCAAGATGGCGGATGCACAAGTATGTTCGAGAAAACGGCCTGGGTGTTGCAAACGACTTTTTACCTTTTAACCAATACACAAGCCCAATTTTATTTAATATACATTCGCACGCGGTTCTTAGAACGCGCTGGGGGTGGTTTTTAGAAGTGTAGTAGATATTTTAGATGAGGAATCTGTTGGAACTCCGCTTACCCTCGTGTGACGCTACGCGAGCAGCCGTATTGCTAATGCGGTTAGCTTAGCCACCTTCACGTTCTCCGTAGCTCGTCTTAAAATCACTCCTGTCGTTGTACTTGGTCGTGCTGTGAACGCGTACTTTTGTCCTTGTGCAGACCGAGAGGGCTTATCAGAAGCAGCCGACCATCTTCCAGAACAAGAAGCGTGTTCTGGCCGTCGATGGAGGCACGCAGAGCAAAGAAAAGCTCCCCCGTTACCACAAAAGTGTCGGGCTGGGCTTCAAAACCCCAAGAGAGGTCCATTTTCAAGTCCTGTTCAAGTCTTAATTGAATCTGCAAGTGATGTTTCTTTCACGATGGTCTTCCTAGCCTGCAGGGTTTTGGCGACGACGCCTTTTGGCAAAGCTGATGCGATTAGAGGTTTTCCGCACTTCTCGAAGCCAGTGTTGATTTTTTTTTTTTTTTTGTGTGTGTTGTGCAGGCGTGGTGACCAAAATGAAGATGCAGAGGACCATCGTCATCAGACTCGACTAACTGCATTACATTCAAAAGTACAACCGTTTTGAGAAGCGGCACAAGAAGCTGTCGGTGCATCTGTCGCCATGCTTCAGGTACCTTCAACCCATTCTTGGATTTCCACAGCCCAATTTTTACTTCTGCACGTGATGTTTTTCTCACGATGGTCTTCCGAGCCTACAGGGTTTTGACGACGATGCCTTGTGGCAAAGCTGATGCGATTAGATCCCATCTAAAATGTCGCATTTCGTTTAATTAACAGTGATTAAAATGCTTGTTCTGTTTTGTCCCCTCAGGCTATTGATGGCACTTATATCGACCAAAAATGCCCCTTTACTGGAAATGTCTCCGTCCGTGGCCGTGTTCTCTCTGGTCAGTATGTTAAAGGCTATCCAGTGATGCTTGTGAATTGAATTTGGGGTGGTGACCAAAATGAAGATGCAGAGGACCATCGTCATCAGACGCGACTACCTGCATTTCATTAAAAAGTACAACCGTTTTGAGAAGCGGCACAAGAAGCTGTCGGTGCATCTGTCGCCATGCTTCAGGTACCTTAAACCCATTCTTGGATTTCCATAGCTCAATTTTTACTTTTGCACGTGATGTTTTTCTCACGATGGTCTTCCTAGCCAGCAGGGTTTTGACGACAACGCCTTTTGGCAAAGCTGATGTGATTAGATGCCATCTAAAATGTCGCATTTTGTTTAGTTAAGTTATTAAAATGCTTTTTCTGTTTTGTCCCCTCAGGCTATTGATGGCACTTATATTGACAAGAAATGCCCCTTTACTGGAAATGTCTCCATCCGTGGCCGTGTTCTCTCTGGTCAGTGTTAAAGGCTATCCAGTGATGCTTGTGAATTGAATTCGGCATGGTGACCAAAATGAAGATGCAGAGGACCATCGTAATCAGATGCGACTACCTGCATTACATTCGAAAGTACAACCGTTTTGAGAAGCGGCACAAGAAGCTGTTGGTGCATCTGTCGCCATGCTTCAGGTACCTTCAACCCAGTCTTGGATTTCCCCAGCTCAATTTTTACCTCTGCACATTTTTCTCACGATGGTCTTCCAAGTTAAAGTCTTGACGACATCGCCTTTTGGCATTGCTGATGCAGCCTTGATTCTTCCAACAATGAGAGAAGGTTGGGTTCATTATTATTATTTTTTTTTGTTAAACTTCTTTTTCTTCCCCTTCTCTAATGCAGGGATGTCTCAATCGGAGACATTGTGACTGACGGTCGGGGAGTGCCGACTCTCACCAAGACTTCCCCAAGGTGACAAAGGGGGCTGGCGCCAAGAAGCAATTCCAGAATTTCTAAGACCGCCAGCAGAAATGTCACCTTGAAATAAACTGTTTTAATATGAGCTTTGTTTTGTGTTGTCTTGTTATTTGAATTGCATGGCTAACATCCTGTCGCGATGCCACTCGAGTGAAGCGTGAGTCAGCAGTCGATAGTCCGCTGCTCTCTGCTGTGCGTCTTTTGGCTTCAACTAATCAGCGCTGACACAACGGACGTTACACATCAAAGAGCTTTCATCTCGGACACCAGCTAAACTAGCCTAGCCAAGACAACAGCTCAGTTACAGTAGACACGATGCGCAAGGTCGGACGGACACGTTTTTCTGGCATCTGTATGTTTTCCTTTCTATTCTGTCCAAATATATATTTTTCTACAAACAGTAGCTGTCTTGTCCATGACGTCTTTTTTCGTTCCACCGGGCTTTAGCAAATGTGTTTAAAAATAGACCAAAATCTCTTTAATCCTACCAGTTTGCCAAGATATGATGGGCTAAAGTATGCGGGTTCGTCACAACATTGGCATGATAGATGCCCTGTACCAAAGAATTGTGTTTATCTAATTACATGGATTATTGTGCTGTGGTGAACACTAAACTGAAAGGTATTTAACACTGGTCAGAGCTGTTAAATATTTAATTGGACGTCCAAAAGTTAGTCATACTGTGCTTTTGTAAAAAATGAACTATAACCTGTAGAAATTAGGTCAATTTGACCGTTATGAATAGTGTTAAATCAACCTACCGTGCAGCAATATTTTTAAAATGTACGTATTCGATATTTCATGCTCAAAATAAAATATTCTATTATATGTTGAATCATCTATAACTCTAAGTTATATTATTGTTAATAAATACAAAATGTGTTGATGTTGATTAAAATGCTATACGAAATGAACTAAACGTTTTGTTAGTGGGTTGACCTTCATGCTGCGATGTTCAATTACACCGCTAGATGGCAGCACGTCCCAATAGATGCATTGACACAAAAGAAGTGCACGTAGTTGCATTTCGCTCGGCTCGAATGTGACCAAAACATTTGAGTTTTTTGACAATATTTCTGCCTTTTGCCCTTCTAATCATAACCCAAAGAATTAACTTAATTTCAGTGACTTTTTTTTCCAGAATTGTAGTCCATGTTACGGCGAGACGGGGCTCGAATTGAGGAAGGGGAAGCCCGCTCCTGCGGCGCCATGACGCAGCTCGCCTCCTCGTCGGTGCAGCAGCCGTGCGTCCTCCTGCAGCCGTCAAACATGCTGAAGAGGAGAGGACGGAAATGCAATGTCACTGTTGACGAGGGGGTGCGGCGCTGACCAGCTCCCCATTCACCAAAACAAAACCAGCCCAGCTCCGTTTAGCTCGCGTAATCGCGCCAGAGAGACGTGCCGTGGAGCAGGTTGGACCGCTTCGAACCCCTGCAAACCAGCCCTCCCAAATCTGTGTGTGTGTGTGTGTGTGTGGTGATGGTGGGGGGATCCAGTCCCTGCGTGGGGCTCATCACGTCCGGAACCAGCTCGGATTACGCAGATTTTAAAAACCTGGTTTGGATGCTACGCTGTGGCCTGGACATCCCCGAGAGGAGGATGCAGTAACCAGGGTGAGATGGAGGTTATTGACACGCTTTCTGTTTTCAGCATGAAGCGGTTTGATTCAACAATGAAACGTAATAGTTTGTCGCCGTAGGCCCGATTAGATACAAATTTTAGCAACCGTGAAAAGGAAGCAGTCTTGACGATGCTGCGCGACAGCACACTGTGCAATGTGAGGCAAAAATGAGGTTCTCTCCCTTTAAGAGCACATTTTGGGCAATTAGTTAACGTAATGTGAATGTGTGCAGTAGTGTGCTGGACATCCAGCATTTTAGATTTTTATGATGCAACAAATAGTATTATTAGGTACTGTAGCATTTTGGGGTTTCTTCTGAGATTTGATTGGGGTTTGAGATTGTACTAATGGTCTTTTGGAACGCTTTAACATGTCCCAAAACTCCCACATTTGCCCCAGTGTATCTTGATGGCATTGTATGTCCAGCTCTGAAGAAAAAAAGAAGAGCTCACTGCAAAATTATCATCAGTTTCTCTGACTTTGCTATTTATACATTGGAGTTTAAACACACACATTTTTGTTTTATTGCCGACAACATATATCCCATATTCCAAATGCAAACATTGGCATTTGGGGCACTGATGTAAAAAAAATGGACAAAGACTGTATTTCTCCCAAAAAAGGCTCCAATTCGACTACATCGATACCAGCCTGGCATATAACGATAGGCCATGTCAAATTGGACCGAGTCAGTGGTTGTAAACACTTATGATAATGTCATCTTTGATGGCTAAATGTAAATTAGATGAACTTTTTTTATAATAACTTACAAAACATATAAGTTATTATTATAACATATTCTCAAAAAGCAATCTGTTTCTTTTTACTCAGTTTATTTTGTAGTTAACCCTTTATTTAAATCCTTCTCAGGAATTTGTCCAAGTGAGCAGCAATCAAAAGCAGGTGACAACGCAAAATGGCCAAGCTGTTTTTTTTGTTTTTTGTTTTTTTTTTTGCCTCTGCTATTTTATGTAGACGAACACAGTGTCAAAGTTTGCTGATCTATGGCCTGCAGGCTTCAGATTCCCCACCCCTGCTCTGTGTCAATCATCTCCACCTTCCACAAATAATTGCACTCATTCCTATGTATTACCTCATTACATCCATGTTAAGCCAGTATTACGACAAACACACAACAGATCTCAAACTCAACGGATCCCAACGTGGTCCCGACTGGTTTCTTCAGAGTGCACTTTTCCCGCCACGCCTCCATGTTCCACGTGAGTGTTTTCATCTTATTGAACGTGGCCTGCCTGTGTTGTTGCCCTCCAGGCTGCGAGCCGTGCGCTGGGTGGTGATGAGCAGTGACAGCAGCGGTGGCAGTAGCAGCAGGGGAGGTAGGCAGCATGCCGAGGCCACCCCCTCTCGGCACACGCCTGGACCCAAGCTGCAGGTTCAACGCTCGCTCTCGCGTGACACCATCACCATTCACTTCTCCGCTCTGTGCAAGGAGGAGGATGATGAGGAAGAGGAGCTTTATGGACTAGACGCTGGAGGGAGACCTGGACGGGATGATGCAGGAAGTCTTGAGGTTCACAGGTCAAAAAAGGGGCTGGTTTTTGAATCCGAAACCACGACGGTGACTCCTCACGCAAACGCCGCTTCTCCAGCCATGACAATCTTTCCCAGCTTCACCAGTCCTCAACTCAGTTCCACTCCTCCCAGCAGCTCCTCGTGGCCTTCTGAACGGCCCTTGGCCAGTCTGCCGGCCACAAGCTCCAGTTCCTCCTCACCTTGCAAGTCCACCGGGCTGTCATCCTCCAGACCTTTCCTCAGCCTGGTCAGATCCTTGTCCAATGACGTCGAGGCCCGCGACCCCATCCCGCCGACGACCACCGTGGCGCCGTCGCACGCCCGCCACAGACACTTGATGAAATCTTTTGTCAAGTCGCTTTCCACGGACTCGTCAAAAGCCGAGCACCAGGAAGCGTCTGTTCAGCAAGTTCTCCACCAGCCACAAGTCCAGCCGTCCCAGCGGCCCCCTCCTCGCAACATGCAGCTCTTCAAACAGTTCTCGCAGCCTCGCCTGTCCTCCACCCCCATCATTGCCACTCAGGTCGGCGGAGACTCCAAAACGGCCCCCTCGTCTCCCACCATGTCGCCAGATGGTAGGTCCTTCTTCAAAGTTCAAGAAGTGGAAGCCAAGATCGAAGATACAAGGCGGCGTCTCTCCGAGGTGATGTCAGACCCCCTGCAGCTTTTTAGTAAGATCATGGGCGAGGAATCCAGCGCAGGGGGAGTAGGAAGTGGCCCCCATCGAGCCAGGTTGCTGTCATCAAGCGCATCGGAGCTAAGCGGCATGACAGCCGTCAACGGACACTCCGAAGGTTATAACTACAGCATCAAGGAAGAGGAGGGAGCCGAGGGGGAAGAAGATGAAGGAACTCTCACCGGTGGAGGACCTGATTCCGTGTTCTTCTCCTTTGCCTCGCTGACACAGGCGCCGACTCTCAACCAGACCTCCGCGTCCACCTTGGCCAGGTCCCCGTCGCTAAATCTAGGTCGCTGCTCCATGTCGGCCCTCGTTGCTCGTCAGGAAGACGAGGATTTTTGTGAGCTTTACAGCGAAGACTTTGACTTGTGTACTGACACGGAGACTCCGGACGGGGATCGCCCTGGATCCCGGGGCCTCCATACTGGCAGCACCGGGTTGTGTAGCGAAGTGGATATTGAGGAGGAAGAAGAGGAGGAGGAAGTGGAAACTGTGCCTTGGATTGGTCTGGTCTACATGACACAGTTGGTGTACTGGTACTTAGTCCTTCCGCTACCACAGTATGCATGCGCGGTGGCCCACGGGATATTTGCAGGCTTTACCTTGGCCATTCTAGTCCTTTGGCTGTCAGCTCCACGGCGCTCCTATTTGGGAACGAGGAAGCAAAGACACAGGAGGGAACCTTGGAATGTGTCCCAGTTCGAAATCAAAGAACCAGGCCTATTCAAGGTTAGACAAAAACGATATGTGGAATTAGCCTTCGGGGCCGTACGTGTGTGATCGTCTCGCAGTTAGACTCATTTCAAGCTCATTTGTAGGTCAAAGACTCCTGTTTCATATCTTGTAACACGCCGCCTCCAACCACTGAAATTCACCCTTTTGTTTTTGATCGAAATGGCTTTTCTTCTCTAACATCCTTTGGGACTGATAAGGCCTCAGCTACAAATTGAGAGGCAGCAGTGCACCTTTACTCCAGTGCGCTGAATCCTTCAGGTGGGCGGGAAAGTCTTGGTATTTGGCACTATACTATTGGGAGACCACGCTCTGCACTGTAGAGCTTTCAGAAGCAGCTCCTAAGATCATCTTTGGCCTCGCCTCTAGAGAGTACGGTTGCAAGTCTGGCGTGAGAGGATGTGAACATTTTTAGAAGAGATGAAAGTAATCCCATGCAGCTGTATAGACAGCTGTACTAAACCTGCCAGCATTGGGTAGACCTGCAGCTCACATTGCAGCAGTAAAGACTGACAGTGAATGAAATGACGACCAACCACTGGTGCTAGTATGCCAAAAAGTTTCCTCAAAGCAGATTATGCCTAGTCATTTTTCAAAAGTAGAAGTTTGGGGTGGTTCTTTGTTCTACTCAAGGATCTCAACCATGTTTTGTCTGAAAAACAACTTGGGTTTCTTCTCTTCTGCATACCCACCACATCGCAGGGCTGGATGAACGAGATCCACAACTACGACCCGGAGATGTACCACGCCACCCTGACACACTCAGTGTACGTACGCCTCGAAGGTTCCGTCCTGCGACTCTCAAAACCAAACCGCAACATCTCCCGCCGAGCCACTCACAACGAGCCCAAACCCGACGTCACCTACATCAGCCAGAAGATCTACGACCTGACTGACAGCAAGGTGAGGCAGCTATGGTTTGGTCAGTGTTTTTCACCTTTTCACACAGGGCATGATAGGTTTTTACCCCTTAATACACGGGTGTCAAAGTCAAGGCCCGAGGGCCAGATGCGGCTCCCACATCATTTTATGTGGCCCGCGGGAGCAAATCATGTGTGTCAACTTTTACGATTCTTGCTGAAATCTGTACCAACATGTGAAATTGTCATTGGTAATAAATAACGTTGAGATTTTGCACCGGCCCTCCGAGGGAAGCCGTAACTCCAAGGTGGCCCGCGACAAAAAATGAGCTTGACACCCCTGCCTTAAAAAAATAAACAAATACACCTGAATTCAAACTCTTAAAGAATGTAAAAAAAGGTTTTTTTATAAAAAAAAAAAAAAAAAAAAAAAAAAAAAAAAAAAAACCATTTGATTCCTACTACGAGTTAAAATGGGAACTCTCACCCCATAGAAAGCAAACATGGTTAAGAAGTCGTTGTGTATCATACCATCCGCAGTCACGGGCTCCTGAATTAAAAATACACACATAGTCTTGCCCAACATGTCAATAATACAAGCAAACCCAACTAAAAAGCTCAGTTTAAAATTGTGAAGGATATTTGTGTCTTTGTGATTTTTAACTCATTCAATCCCAGCCATTTTCACTGGAGCAACCCCCTCAATCCCACCGTTTTACTGGATTTTGACTGATCTTGCAAGGCCCACAGAATTTAAAAAAAAAAAGTGTTTCTATCCTTTTCCATTCTTCATCAATCGTCATTACAAAATGGCTAAGTTTCATGGAAATGGCGATTCCTGGGGAAAAAACGGAGAAAAAGAGCTTTTTGTAAAGCATGCATTTCAATCACGTGAGGCACCACTGCCACCTACTGGTCGCTTTTTTACATGATTTCCAAAGCAACGGTTTATTCTTATTCACAGATTGCATCAGACCCTCCTCCTCTCTATGACGCAAAAAAAAGACTTAGACGTACAAGTACGTCCTTGGTAGGCGGGGCCTAATTTTAAAAAGACATACAAGTACGGCTTGTGGAATGAAAGAGTTAAATATGATTTGAATGAATAAGCTATCACAGTGTGCACAATGGCGTTAGGCTTTCTGTGATAGTTGATCACTATGATTGGCTGTTAGCGAGTAAATTAATTTCACGAGAAGTCAACTATGAGAGGACACAAAAGCAAAGCAACAGATAATAAGATGGCATTATCTAGTAATTTAAGCTCAGCAAAATGTTGTTTTTTGACATAGACTTGATCCTGCTTGCATTATGAGTGTGTTTTGCCAAAGGGCCAATATCTGTGAGCATTTGATTTCAAGAAACCCTGACTGTGGATGGTATCATAAAGAAGGACTTCCCAGTTACGGAGCGGATACAAGCATGAGAATGTTCACATGCGCTTATGGAGTGAAATATTCTGTCATGTGGACCCACCAGTGAAAAATGGATGGCTATGCCCTTGACTTTATTAAATATGTCCCTTCCTCCAAAGATCTACCTGATGCCACAGAGCCTAGCGAGAAAAAGAGTTTGGAACAAGAAGTACCCTGTTTGCATTGAGCTGGCCAAGCAGGATGACTTCATGTCCAAGGCCCATGGAGAGAAGGCCGAAGAGGACAAACTGACAACGCAGGGTGAGAAAACAGAGCAAGTGGAGTACAAGGTTGAAAAAACCGAAGCATCCGCGGACGAGCAGAAGAAGCCGGCGCCCGGAGGAGGGGATCTGACAATCTACCTTTTTGGGAGGACGGGGCGGGAAAAAGAGGAGTGGTTCCGGAGATTTCTGCTCGCGTCCCAGATGAAGTCTGACGGGCGAGGCGGCAGTCTGCCCAAAAGTGGTCAGTGTGCAACACAACATGCGCATACACACACGCACGCACATTTGGAAGGCCTCATTGTCTTCAGTGTGTAACTGCCCAGCCATCAGATCTGCACATAAACTCCAGCTTGACCCTTCCATGCAACCTGTAACCTGATAACATGATAAGCTGTCTACTGTTGTAACCGCTGTCCCTGAAAGGTTTAAAGACAATCCCCTCAAGCGAGGAGCGTGAATGGGTCAGCAGGATTACAGTACAGGATTTGGGCTCCCCTGTGCAATATATCAGGATGATGACTCTTTTAAAGGGAAGGACTGATGTTTTTGGGTGCAGTCCAGTGCACAGGATTCCTGAACGTGTTATTACACGTCCCTGTGAAGTGAAAAGAACTACGCCTTCTAAATTTGATGCAGCATAGAGAACGGTGCTGTTAACAATCCCTCCAAATATGAACGATTAAAAAAAATGGGCATGTATTTTTTTTTCGATGGCGTGACAACGAGGCACTCGAAAGTGGCCATGCCAGTGGATTATCTCAGGGCAAGATGTGTTTTTGTGGTTTAGCCATAGCAAGCTAGCTAACTGCACAACACATTCGCATCAGATAACTGCTGATGTGAAGAAAGGCGCTCTTGGAGTTCTTCTATCGAGGGGCGACTCGTGCCGGGGTCTGAGGTGCGGGCCTGGGCCCCGTTTTAGCCGTGCCTCAAAAATCAGGAAAACAGTTTAAAACTATATCCCTTCATTGAGTACTACATAGTTCACGGTCTTTGCACATAGTTCCAACCAATATCTTCAGACATGTACACTGCATTTATGAACAAATCTCTTCGGTACTTAAGAGGCGTAAATGTCTCCTTCCTTTCCCCCTTAACGGTAATTATGGCCATATAGATTTTATTGTTCACACACAGACAAAATGAATCATAGTTAGGTTAAATAGTCGAACGCTGAGGCCATTTGAAATGTGTTGCTTCTCTAAAGAGGAGCACTAAAACATGTGAATGGTCTCTCAGATCAATTGAAGTGTGGACACGTGCCTGCAATCGAGTATATAAATGTCCCCGTCTCTCTCTAATGTTGATGAATAAGGCGACTAAAATATTAGCACTAACGTGTTGGAATGAATGTCAAACTCAAGGCACAGTCAACTGAGGATACACCGAAATGGGCACATTTGAAAATGTTCAGTGGCATTGACTTCTGTGGTGGCCTTCCACTGGGCTGCTTTCTTGTCATACGAAAAAGAATGTGATAATGATTCCGCTCGGCTCGTCTACTTCTTAGCAGGAATTCTACTTTTGAAAAAGATTACAAAGTTAGGAAAAGTTTCTAAATTGGCAACGCTTAATTCTTTCTTGAACTCGCTCCATGTTGAGAGTGCAAACAGTGCACATCAATGACAACGAGCTTTCAACTCCAGAAGCCACTAAAAATAAAAAATGGATGAATCAAAAACGGATCAAATATATTAACTGCTCAGAACTTAGCCTGTACCCAATTTCCCCCTTTGTCTATGTTAGCCTTGCAGCCCCCCCACAGCCACAGCAACCAGTCTGTGGGCGGCCAGGAGGCAGACGGCGGAAACAGTGACGAGCTATGCCACCCTCCGCCTCGCCACCGAGAGAGCTCGTCGGCTTCCTCCTGCGGGCCTGCCACAGGCGTGAGGCAGAAGATGCTCTTGGACTACAACCTGTATATGGCCAAGTATGTCCACCCCCAGCCTGCACCCACAAGCCCGGCCGCCGCCCAGAGCCCAGGACATAGCCCTGACAGAAGCCCGCAAACTAACCAAAAGGTAAGAAACACACCAGCAGGGAACACTTTGAAGGGGGGTTCAGTGAAGCCCTGTATATTCGCAGTTCGGCATTCGCAAATGTATCCTTTTTTTTTTTTTTTCCTGGATCCTGTCCTCTGTTATTTCCTGAAAAACTCACCAAGCTGCCGGCAATTTTTGTACTCGGTCCAAGGCATTGAAGTATTGCTAAGATGCCATCTTCAGGCATCTTGGTGCCAAGGAACTATGTTGAAGTGAGTTGAGGAGCTCCATGTAGACAAATGTAGTGCTTTGCCCGTCATCCTGTGGGACATTGGCGCCAATGAACTATTTTGAATACTATGTTGAATTGAGTTGATTGAGTCGCTTGACATCATTTCCACTCGGAACATTTCTGAAATGAGAATAACTTGGAAGCTAACCAACATGATGAAACAACTTGTTGGACTTGGGAGGTTCCGCTGTACCTGAAATGGTACATCCGCTTCTTGATTCATTTTCATTGCTTAATTTAATATCTGTATTGTTAAAAAAAAACAACAACAACAACAACAGAAAATACGTCCCTGAATTTTTAATGCATATATTTCGTGATAGTTTTATTGTATTTCACTCATCTTTTTTTTTCAGTATGTTATGAGCCGATTGGCTTGGTAAAAATAAGTTGCTCTGCTCCATTGTGCAGGGGGATACCTCAAGTAACTAAATCTGGTTCCTCGCCCATATGTCATATCTACTTGCGAATGTGTGTGTGTGTATGCTCTTTAGGTGCCCAGGAGCTCAGATGAGGCAGCTGAACCAGAAGCTTGGGTCAACGCTTTTCTGGGAAGAATATTCTGGGACTTCCTGGGAGAGAAATACTGGGCCAACGTCGTCTCCAAAAAGATTCAAATGAAGCTCAGTAAGATCCGGGTGGGTGGTACCCTTTCGTTTATTTTAAAAGTTCCTTTCAATACGGCAGGCGTGAACATAGTCATTCATTTTAAAAAAGTGGTTCTGTCATCCATCCATTTTCTAATCTGCTTTTCCTCACGAGGGTTGTGGGCATGATGGAGCCTATCCCAGCTGTCTTCGGGCAGTAGGCAGGGTAACATCCTGAACTGGTTACAAGCCAATCACAGGGCACACATAGACGAACAACCATCCGAGCTCCCAATCACACCTAGGGACAATTTAGAGCGTTCCATTAATCTGCCATGCATGTTTTTGGAATGTGGGAGGAAACCGGAGTGCCCGGAGAAAACCCACACAAGGGCGGGGAGAACATGCAAACTCCACACAGAAAGACCGGAGCCGGGATCAAAGCCTGCACCTCTGCACTATGGGGCGGATGTGTTAACCAATCGCCCACCGCCCTGGCACTGTCATCTTGTTGCAAAAATGTAATCAATAGTTTGACTTGGCTTTTTGTTGATGTACTGTAGCCTGATGGATGGCTGGATAGATTGAGCCTTCTTCAGATTGACTTACTTGTGACCCGCTTGTCATACAGTCAACATGTTGTGTGAAGTTGTGCATCAGAGAGATCGCAATGGCAGCGTGCGTGGCGTCACTCGCGTTGGCTGTACGAGCTGATGTTTGAATGTAAACAAACAACTGTACTTTTCTAACAGCCGCAAGCTGCAAAAATAACAAAAGGTGAAAAGTACATATAAAGGAGAAAGTTAACCTGAGTTGTTCCTGGCTGCCAACTTTCTGGTAGTTCTTTGGAGTCACTTTAATATATTATTTTTGGTTTTGAAATGTAAACCTTCACTTTTTTGTCTTTTCAGCTGCCATATGTTATGAATGAGCTCACGTTAACGGAACTCGACATGGGCGTCTCCATTCCCAAAATTCTCGGAGCCTCCAGACCCTCGATGGACCACCAAGGTAGGAACTGGAGCTCTGTCTCGCACCCAAAATATCCATTCTCTGCCGAGATGGGTTTCATTGACCATTCTGCTGCCACTAGCTAGCTAGCTATTCACATACACGTGCGTCCACTTTCGAGTGAAGGAACCCAAATAACTTGAACCCACTTGCCCCCAAACGATCCACGTGCACTCTCCTTACACATTGAGCTCCCCATTAAAGTAGTACATTTTATTCTGATCCGAGTCCAAAAATTAGGATTTGAAACTCACTGCCCCAGTAGGAACAGATGGCCATTACTTATTATTACGAATTTCAATTCGTAGTCAGCTCTCCTCTTCTTCTGGCTACTTCTGCATTTTCTGGGGTTCCTCCGATCCAGTTGCTGCTCTTCTTTCAAGATTTCAAGATCATTTTCTGTCTTTTTTCATAATAACTGGGGTAAAATGAATGGAAATGCCATTTTTCCTTTCATTTAGTCGCACCATAGCCTTGTCGAAAAATTCTGCCATTTTATTCGGAAATGATAACCCTTTTTGAGTGGGCGTGAATTACTTGGGGCTTCACTGTAATTGTAATTGAAAAGACGGTTGGAAAGCTAGGACAGTCATGGGAGCAAACAACAGCGGGATACAAATCAGATCAAAACGGGAAGTGCACCCAGCGAGGAAGTGCAGCTGTCTGAGGCCTGACCTTTTCACCCATTACAGGATAAAAGCACTTTCTGGCAGACATACAGGTGATGAAATGGCACGGCACAAACAACAATAGTTCAATCACATACATATGTGTGTCAAAAGATTTCTATTCGTCTCGCTGTCCATCCAGGATTGTGGTTTGATCTGGAAGTCTCCTACACGGGCTCCTTCCTCATGACTCTGGAGACCAAGATGAACCTCGCCCGTCTGGGCAAGGAGGGCGAGGGCCTCAGCGAGCACGGCAAGGAATGGTGAGCCATTTTTCTTTCATCGCCACACTCCAGTCAAAGCCTTTTTTTTTTTTTTTGTCTGTACCATTGAGAGAGCAATCGCTCAAAGGCTGTCAGGGAAAAAACAATTGATTGAGCTCGACGTGTTTCTGTTAGGAGTCGTAATGGCTGTCACATCTCATTTTCCACAATTCCTTCCCTTTGTTATGAAACCATCTCTCCGGACGCTTTACCAATGTGGAATTGGTCAACACATAGTGAGTTTGATAGGTCACTAAAACAACTGTATGTGTGGAGGGAGATTCATTTTCTGCCATTTGGGCGTCCTCGTTTTGTACCAGAGGTCTGTTCTTTCTGTGGCAACCTATCCCAAATTTGTATGTAGGTAGGAAGGTAGTCTATCATTGATGCAGTAGTCAAATCAGAAGTACTGTATATATTTGTATGAAATACACGGCTAGGACATAAATATTTTTAAATGAGGTATGTAGTGAGTGTGGCTTCTTGTGCCAGGTGAACCATGTACTGTATTCTTGTTCCATCCAGCTATGCCAGGGGTGTCAAACTCATTTCACATGGTGGGCCACATACGGCCTCGGTAGATGTCAAGTGGGCCGGACCATTAAAATTATACCATACTCTGCTATAAATAACCAATATATCATGTCTTTCGTTTGTTTTGGTAGAAAGAAGCACACGAACATTCGGAAAATGTTGAAATTTAATGAACATATCTTTTACAAAACATTTCATGAAGCACCTTAGATTTCCTTAGACAAATGCGCAATTTACTTTTATCATTCACATATATGCATTGCAACCGATCCCACTGATTGCACTTTAAGCTTAAACGAGATTTTTAAAGAAAGGAATTTTTCACCCATTTACACATGCGCATATAAAATCTAAATTTAATCCCTGCCTACACCTTACAAACTAAAGAGAGCTATTAAATGCGTAAAAAATAAAGTATTCACATGTCCTTGATAGCATCTGCTGTGTTGGGTCTGTCTCAGTGACAGACTGAGACTGCTGTTGTCTTCTTCCCTGATCAAAACAATGTTGTCTTCTACTCTGATCAAAACAGTGTGTCCCCTAGCGGATACTCCATGAATTGCACCCTCTTAAAAATATTCATTCCATGTCTTTTATGCATTTTTTCACTTTTAAATTATCCTTCGGGCCTGATCGAACCTCCTTGGGGTCCGGTTCCGGCCCATGGGCCGTATGTTTGACACCACTGAGCTACGCCGTTCAGTGAAAGCTGGTAGTGAAAAAAAAAGGACGCATGCCAATGTTATCCCAGCTTGTTGCTGTTTGTAAGGTCTGATCTCTGCATTGTCCAATCTCAGACATGACTGCAATGGTCCAATTGTGACGGTCCTGCGCCTCTTTGTAAATAAAAGGTGCTTAAAACAGCCACAGGTCATCATTGTGTCGCGTACGGAGAAAAAGAAATGTTTTGGAATTTGCAAAATACCTCAGAAAAGAGTTTGATACTCGATGTAATGTCCCAATTACTGTAACTGGTTTGTGTGTCCATGAAGATTCCTGCGGTTTCTTCATGCTATTTCAAGCTGTGTGTTTTTGTGCATGCTACAGGGCAAGGCCACGCACGTATTGTCTGGCGGATAGCGACGAGGAGTCGTCCAGTGCTGGTTCCTCAGATGAGGAGGATCCTCCGGAGCTTTTCAGTGACAAAACTGTTCTCCCTGGAAGCGAAGTGTGAGCAAACATCCTTCAGAACAATATTTGAAAATCCACACTAATTTGTTGAAACAGAATGTTCCAACCTACAGTCGAGCGACGACTCACTGCTGATTTAACGTAGTACCACCCACTCCTTTCCATCACGTAGGGGGGCTTAGCAAGCAGTTCATGCTGTCATTAATAAATTATCAACGTGACTCACTGCTCAGCTCACATCCCCCTTCCGCTTCTGTATGGATGCTCTCCTCTCCCTTTGCGCAAGCAGCTATGTGGGAGGCCACAGGCCCAGCAAGATCATGCGCTTTGTGGACAAGATCGCCAAGTCCAAGTACTTCCAGAAGGCTACAGAGACAGAGTTCATCAAGAAGAAGATGGAGGAGGTGGCCAACACGCCTCTGCTACTCACCGTGGAGGTGCAGGAGTGTCGAGGGACTCTTGCTGTCAACATACCACCGCCTCCTACAGACAGGATATGGTAAGTTCATGCCCGAGGTCCTGGATTTTAGGATACTTGGCCCCCTCTGCTGGATAAAGTTTGCAAGAATTATGCCTGATTTGGACATTTTGAACACTGTTCAGCACAGGCAACATGGCGGCATAGTGGTTTGCGTCTGCCTGAGTAGCGTGCTTTCATTATTATGTTTGGAAGAAGCAGATTGTAAAGCTCCTTGTAGGGGCGGGGGGTCCCGTGTCCCAGTAATGTCTCGTTTTTGGGTGCTCAGGTACGGTTTTCGTAGTCCACCTCACCTGGAGCTCAAAGCGCGGCCAAAGCTCGGAGAGAGGGAGGTCACGCTTGTCCATGTGACGGATTGGATTGAGAAGAAACTAGATCAGGAGTTTCAGGTAGGCTGTGACATTCAAAGCGCTCTGGAAGTTGCTGTCCACTTACGAGATTTTTATGAACTTGAGAACACAGCACGTTGCAGATGTTTCATGGCGCAAATGGAGGTTGTAAATTTCAACAGTGCAATTCATTTATGGCTTGCTTCCCAAACACACACTTCAAAGCAGCGTAATAAATAGCCATGGTAATGAATGATACTTTATGTGTGTTGCTGCTCCTGACGCACTCCGTCACACTACTGCAGCAAAATACCCGCTTAGATTAATCACAAGCTCGGTTGTCCATCACACTCCAATATAAGACTGCTAGACTTACTTGAGCACACCCCAACACGACAGAGCGGATGTAACATCAATACATCAGACACATTGGTATTGATATTATAACTGTCAGTTTAAAAAAATGACTTGACATGAGTAAAATGTTCTTTTCATGTTTTTTTTTGGGGTGCTACTCCAGTGCCTGTCATAACATCTTTTATCTTCCCGACAGAAAATATTTGTCATGCCAAACATGGATGACTTGTGGTTACCCATCATGCACTCTGCCATGGACACACGTTCAAATGCCAGCTCGATTAGCGAGTCAAATGATGCCTTGAGGGGCCCGGAACCTGAAGAGTCTGAGGTCTCATACATATGAAGAAGACGTCGAGTCCGCTGTCTTTCGCCATGGCAATACATTGACGCCGCACCCCCGAGGGTGAGTTGGTGTCTATGCGGCTCAGAATGATCCATTTGTGGCCAATTTCAAAAGACTGGGCGTCTACTGTTTACCAAACGTACGTATTGGCGTTTTGACAAATTGATTGAATAGGAACCATCAACCTGTGATGTACAGCTTCACCAAACTTGAGTTGTACAGTATCTATTTTTGGGACTTTTCCGATTGTTTGCAAAAGGTTTGTCAACCCGAGTGGGTAAATATTTGCGGGAATGAAGAGAAAATAACTCCCGTGTCCATATGTGTACACAAATTTCTGTCACTCATCATTGCTACCTGTGCCTGGCACGTGTATTCAGACAGGTCAATGGCGACATAAAAGTGAGCGTCGATGCAGTTCCAGGCTGTAATGCTTTCAACTGAAACCTTATTTTAACGTATGGAAAAAGGACTTTAAAAATGAGAGCGTGGTACGAATTTCAATGTACAGTATGTGCATACACAGCAGCCAAAACCTTTGCCGAAATCTGATGAATGTGTTTATATGAGTTTGCTCATTCACCTGACGACGTGCTTCTTAGAAACAACTTTTCATTCAAAAGCCAGGGATGCGTTTTTTATTGCCAAAGCATTCTTTCACTCCGGCTTGAAGGGTAATTGGTGGTGAATGTCAAAAGTGTGCTTGCTTTGAAATCTGTACTTGCCAGACTGATAGTCATCTGCGGGGGTATTTTTATTTATTTTGTCAGATCAGCAGAATATGAAAAACTTTTTTTTTGGGGGGGGGGGTCAAAAATGTGCTCATCTGGATTCTAGCCATATTTTTTCAGTAGAATTCTAGACGGTGAAAACATGCAGCAGCCAGCCAGCCAACAAATACTTACTTTGCCATTCAAAAACTCGCTGTTTACTGCGTAGCGTGCGCACAACTAAAGTGACGATTCATCTGTCAATGTTTAGTTGCCTTAAAGGCCATTTTGTTTCTCCAAGTGTCGGTTATGTGTATAAGGCAGAAAGTGCCTTTATAATAATCAAACATTCCTCCACAGTGAACCATTTTTTGCAGCCATGCTTAAAAAAAAAGGGGAAAAATGTGCCATTATTGTTGTACAAATTGTTTGCACTGTGAAGAAACATTGCTGTTGTGTTCAGTGATGTCCGAATGTTATGGTTCAGGTCATTGTGGATCAATTAAAAAAAGATTTTGCTCCGATAAATGGGCGTCATAATTGATAAAGATGACCATGAGGAAAAGGGCATTCATGTAATACTCAGCATCACTTTCCTTGTGCATAACCAGAGGAAAACACAGAGAAGAGACACATTGTCTACAATCAAGCATTTCCGGTTTTATGGAAATTAACTGCCAAGTATTTTGGAAAAATAACACTCACTGCCTGTCACTTGTGTGAGAATTACACGACAACCGTGTCATGCTTTAAGAGGAACTTGGGAGAGCTACCAAGGAACTCCACTTATAAACAGCACCTTTCTTGCATTACGTACTTTTTCTTAAACCTGCATGACCACCAAAAACATGAACCAAGTTTTAAGTATAGCGCATTATTCATGTTGCAAAACAACAATCAAATGAGACTCATATTGTTGATGAGGGAAAATGCTTTATTTGAAGATGTATGGTGCTCTTCGAAGGCAAATGGGTCCAGGACATCAAACTGTCTGAATGGAGGGGGGGGGGGGAGATAGAAAGCCCACTTAATTTTAAAAGACCTTTGCAAATCTCATTAAAAAGTAGTACAACTTACACTTATGCTTTTCCCGATCCGCCGCGTCACCGAAGGCTGCAGCATGAGAAGATTGAGATTTATTTAGACGACAGCATAAAGACACAACGCATGCATGAAATATAATGTTTGTTCAGATTTTAGGTTAACTTCATTTTATATCGGAAGTCTAACGCACTTGAATCATCATTAAACAAAAAAAAGGTATTTGCATTATAAACGCATACTTACGTTGTCGAGAACGGCCTCCACACGTGGTTAGCCACGTGGCTGCAACGTGACAACTATTTCACAACGGCTTGGCTTTCACATCTGGACCAAGAAAAAATTGCATTGGGGTAAAATGTAAGTACAGTATCTTGGTTAGCTTTGTGTGGATGAAGCAAATTCCTTACCGTAACATATTTGTCAATCGATGCGGCCCAGTGCTCATGCTGACGCATCGAGACAAATGAGCCTTTAAGCAAATTACGAAAATAAATATAATTAAAGGGTCATCTCGGATTGAAACGACTAAATAAAAGGTTAAGTAAATAATTCGTGATCATTAAGAACACTCTCCGGGGGACAGACGGACTCGCCAGCGTAAGCATGTTTAAGCAAGGTTTGCCAAAACTGCAATGAGAACCGGACACGAACCCGGAAGTTTTTTATATCTTTTCCGGGGCCTCTTCTCGTCTCCTATTGGCTGGTACCGCGACTTCGGACTCCCCTCCTCCACTCTCGTGGCACGTAGACCACGAAGTCCCGCCCCTTTCCCTGGTTTCATTTCAGGAAGCAAAAAAAAAAAAAGCTAACTCGCCGCGTATGGTTTCAACGCTGCCTGCCATAATGCCGTTTTTAGCTGTTGACCAAACATTTCACAACATTCGCGTCGGGAGCCAAATGACGTCTTGTATGGAGTGAACGGACGTCAAAGAGCAGTCGCCCCCTTTCGGCTTTCAGACCCCAAATGATGGACTGGACAGTGAGCACCCGGGCCCTGGTGTGGTGCATTTTGCTTTACTACGCGGCTCTGCCACTCCAGGTGAGAACCAGCTGACGTTTGAATTAACAGAGTCTCTCAATACAATGTTGCTATTATTGTCTCTTAAGTGAAAAACGAATTTGTCAAAATGAATAGTGGTTATTAGCTTGTGAACAGAAGCTGCTTAGCTGTATACACACTATGACATGAGGTAGGGAGCTGGACACATACTGGAATAAACGTAAAATGTCGTAATTGATAACTTTGAAGTTATGTTTATTCATTAGTGACAATGATGATGATATGTTGTCTGCATCGCATGTTACATTAATTCTTTTATGTATACTCGGATGTCATTATAGAATTGTATATCAAAGCAGCATGTTTTTTTTGGAGCTTGATTCGATCCTCCCCTCGGCCCAATAAACCTCAGTTCGGCTGTGACGTGAAAACTCTGTGGGGCACACCATGTATGATGGAGAGTAGAATACAAAGAAAACTTTCCGTAGATGATCCAGAAGCACAAAGAGTAATCCATCTTTAGTGTTGAATTGTATCACAGCAGAGGAAGTATCAACATGACTTGATGTTTTTAGACTACATCACACTTTCCCCAGGAAGTCACTGAACCCATCACATGTCACATCTCCATTTTATCTCAGTGGACTTCCGTTGGCTCTTGTTTTCACTTTGGTTAATTTGCAGATTTTATTTAGGGCTAACATTTAACGAGGGTCCAAATTCCCCGGGTTCGAGTCTTGCCTTGGGCCCTACTGCGTGGAATTAACTTGTTCTCGTTGTGCAGGTTTTCTCTGGAAGCTTCCCCACGCATTCCAAATCCCGTGCATTTTAGGGTCAGTGAAAACTCTAAAGGCATCGAGACACCGCGTTTGGTTCGCGTGGCGCTCCAATGTAGGGTCGGGCGCACGGACAATGGCAGCACCGCACGAGCTTGCAAATATTTGGTGCTGGTTGCTAAGGAGGAAGTAGTCTGGTACTGGATCCACTGGTTTTGAGGTAAGGTATAGGCTGCTGGTCGTCAATTTAGACTGGTCACGAATTCAACAGAAAGCACCGGCTTTGCCCATGTTAGAAGTAGAGGGAGAGGTTCAGTAGTAGCCAAAAAAAGGCAATAGGTTCATCCTATTCTAATGACATGGCAAGACCTCGTGAAGGTTTGGCTCATCCTTGAGATTCAGCTTTTTCAGTTTGACAGCCTCAGGAGTTGCAATTCACCAGTGGTTGGATTGTTGACGCCCCCAAAACAAACATTTTCTGCTGCATCCTGTTTTGACTGTAGAACTTTCCCCAAATATCTTGCTGTTAACGCTCAGAAATCACTCTGCCACCATCTCTCCTGTTGGATGTGCCGCCCCTGAATCTGACATTTTTTAATTCAGGCACAACTGTCGCAACAAAACGTTTCCTTTTTCTTGTAAAATAACCATCTTGTGTTGACAATTTGAGTATTTTTAAAAGTAAAAATGACAGCATTGTTGTTGTAAAATTTGCTCATAAAGTCATGCCCCTTTTTCTTGTCGTAGTACGTCTTGATTGTTGTTCAATTCCAAGCTGAAAGGGCATTAAAAAGGCATTTTATTCTTGCAACATTTTTCTCTGAAATCAGGATTTTATCCTTGTATAATTCTAAACTTATGCCTTCAAATTAGAACCGAATTTTTTTTTTGGTCTTTATCTGTTTCTCCTTGGTACAGGATAGAGCTGGATGTAACCAGCACACCTTGCGGCGTTAGCTTAAATCATCTTGAGTGAACAAGTGAGTTTAGCTCAGCAGATAAATAAACTGGCTTTCTAACATCTTTCTTATCATTGTGCACTCCTCTCCTATCCAAATTAAACTCTTAAAAAAATTTTCCCCCCTGTCAAAGAATGTGGCATTGACCAACTGCTTGGTTTCAAACTGTACATCTGTGCTCTCTGTGTTGTGCTCAATGACCACATGTGCCTCAATGTATGTTTGTTGCCTCTTATAGGTCACCGTGTCCTTCTAGTTCAGTCACCCAGCACCAACACAGGCTGCTTTCGGTCACAAATAAATTGTGGTCTTGCGCTATCTTATCACAGCTGCAGATTGGGCTGTGCGTGTCCGTGTGTGGGTCCGACACGTGACCGGCGCTCCGCTGAAACACCGCCTTGCTTCTGATAAATACACAAAGGCGACCATGTTTGACATGTGCTTCAACTAATATGTGGCGTAAATGTCAAATGCGATGGCTTGATGATGACATGCACTAAATCGAGACACAGATCATCTCGTTTTATGTTTGCTCATGCAGATGATTCCAGTGTTGTGTTAAGAAGTAGTATGTTAAATGTCTGCCTTGCATCAGTGTCTGGTCGGAACTTGAAGAAAGCTAAACAACCGTGGGATGCGCTCATATTTGCACAGCCCTGAAGGAAAACAGACAATTAGTCCGTTCATATTACAGTTGCAGTGTTGCATTTCCCACCCCCGTTTTTGGCCCATATTTAGTTTTTCTGCAAACAGGCCATTTCTACCAAGTCGTTTGCTGCGCTACGCTACCTTTGACAATCACAGTTTTGCGATTTGCTTTGTGCCCCTATGACTCTCGCCCCAGTCATGGTCTGAAACGCACCACTTGGCCCCTCCGTTCAGGATGCTTGGCGATGCAGCTGGTGCACTGCACAGTGACACTTCACCCTGCTGAGAACACAAACCAAAAGAGCTTGCGCTAAAGTCTGGCCCAGCTCCAGAGGGGAAACTGAAAATCTCGATCGCTGAAGCCGCCCAGTTCTCCAATCTGATGAAATCCTCTGACACAACAAATTCATACCACGTTCAAATTGGAACAAAACTTGTTTCTGTATCATGACTAGTAACAGATGTCCTGAAATGTTTTATATATTTGCCGTCCCTTGTAAAGTGAGGACACAGAATACTGTGAGCACAGTCCAGTGGGAGCGGTCACAGGTGCACAATATTGACAGGAACGCTTGAATAGGATGTGAGATTACAGACGGATCTTTCAGAGCAAAAAAGGCAATTTATAGGGCTCTCATTCCTGTTTTGAATGTTTTTAAACTGACGTGCATGACGTCATTTAAAAAAAACGAAAATAATATTGCAGGGCGGCCCCGTGGTCGACTGGTTAGCATGTCGACCTCACAGTGCAGTTCAATTCCAGCTCTGGCCTCCCTGTGTGGAGTTTGCATTTTCTCCCTGGGCCTGTGTGGTTTTCTCCGGGTACTCCGGTTTCCTCCCACATTCCAAAAACATGCATGGCAGGCTGATTGAACGCTCTAAATTGTCCCTAGGTGTGAATGTGAGCACGGATGGTTGTTCGTCTGTGTGTGCCCTGCGCTCGGCTGGCAACCGGTTCAGGGTGTCCCCCGCCTACTGCCCGAAGACAGCTGGGATAGGCTCTAGTGAGGATTACCGGATCGGAAAATGGATGGATGGATAATAAATAAAAAATAAAAATCCAGGTAATAAGAGCAATGGGACCCAAGAATTTTGACTCGTGTGAACTCTTGGGTGCATTTGCTCTCCATGACGGACTTTGCACCTCTTGGGGGGTCTTTGTGTTCCTCTTAAGAGCTCTTGAAATCCGCCCGCCTCCGCCCTCTCCCACCCATCAAAAGTGGCTAAATGCTGAGATGAGTGTATTAGCAATTATCGATGGCTAATCTGCATTGTATGCAAGGGGACAGTTCAAGGGGATTAGTGAGAGATTTTAATCAGCACCTGAGGGATTCATCCGAACATGGATGGCCGTCTCTGCTGCTCACTTGTTCGTAGTTTAACAAAAAAAAAAAAAAAAAAAACGGCTTGACAGTCTTGATACTTTAACGTTTGGATGATAAAACTGGGCCTCCCATAGGGATAAAAAGAAAAATACATCGAAGAAAAGCGACAGTCAATCAATCCAGGAAAGCTTTGTTGTCAAAGCTGCATTTTTAGAATTCCATTGCAGCTGAATGCAGCAGCTCCCCTCAACCATCATGCGTTAGGGAGTAAGACAAGTCGTGCCCGTGGAATGAATCTTGAGTTGACTTGGGCTTAATATACTTGTTTGCCAAGTAGCATATTTACTCAAGTTATTTTTAACTTGCTGTCACAAGATCAATAAATAATAGCAACACATTTGCTGAATGTCTGTGTGGATTCTCGTGTCATCCAGGTTCTGGGAATCCACCAAAAGTTGGACTCTTCTTGTTTGTTGAATTTGTTGTGTTTGACAGATGCTATTATGCTATGGATAAGTCAAACTCATCTGGATGGTGCGTGCGTGGGATGTCGGGTCACATGTTCCTTTTGTCTCCCCTGATCACATTGCATCTCTGTGAATCTGACGGCTTCAGGCAAAGTCCATATGAAGGCAATGTTTCGAAAAATGTGGAAGGAAATTCCAAGAAAAATCATTTGAAAAAAGGCCCGAATTTGTGTGTGTGTGTGTGTGTGTGTGTGTGTGTGTGTGTGTGTGTGTGTGTGTGTGTGTGTGTGTTATTAACATGATCAAATATTGTGTAAGCAGTTGTGGAAATCCCCACCCGCAGTTCTCCAAAATATGTTTTCATTGCCCTAAAACACAATCGCTTGAGGAATAAATGACAAAATGCACATATAAGTTAGTTCGCATTAATGGTAGACGTTTTTAAATTATTACAAAGGTCTAATTTTTTTCATACCACAAAAAC